AATTCAACTTTGTTAAAGATCAACATGTAACTTTTTTGCTTTTTATCCCTAAGTAGGAAGGACATATGTATAATTTGCTAAACATTTACTTCATAAGTTAAGCATGAGAAAAATAAGAAAGTTATACAAGATTGGCTTATGGATAGTAAAAGTGGGAGACAGGAAAATAACAACCACTTCAGGAGCAACAGTGAAGTGTACATTTGAAGGAATATTCTCTTAATATCACACTGTTTTAGTCTGTTTGTGGTGAAGCCTGCTCAAGGAAAAGATATCAAAAATTTTTCAAATTTGAGCAACTTAAAGGATCTGAAATCTCTCTGAAATGACATGTACTCTAGTATTAGTACATGTTTATTTCCCTAACATTTAGGTTCTATAAAACTTGGTGTGTAGTATCAAGGAATATATTCAAAGGCATTTTCTGTTGTGCTGAATGATATAAATTTCATGGGTTTTCTGGATAATATTTACATTGATGGAATTATATTTAATACAGATTTTCAGTTTCCTTCATTATCAGTCACCTAAGAGACATCGCAGGAAGGTCTTTCAGATTTTGTTATCGAAAATCCCTGACCACTTCTTTGATCTTAATTGCCAGGATGTCAAATTTGATAGTCTTGACTTTGAAGATTTGATTGAAGATGTCCCTTTGATGAACCTGTCTGATAAACAGGGACATTTAGCACGTGTGACAGACGTGCCCTGCTCTCTCCAGGGAATCAGTGTTGTGTGTTCCTCCTTTTCTCAGCTCCCTGCTTGCTGAACGCTGCTTGCATCTGTTCTTTGCCTTCCCACAGAGGAGCAGTGGCAGCAGTGCAGAATTGATATTGTCTTCGAAATCTGCACAGCTGCTGGTGTGGCTCTGAGTCACAGCAAGGAGGTTCACCACAATCTTGTTAATGCACTGCTGCTTGACCAGCCAGTTAATAAAAGCAGACTCACTCAAGCTGATCGATGAGAGACTTTGCAATAAGGTGCTATGATTTTTTTATTTGGTTCTTGTTTGAAAAAGCTTTAAAGGAAAGATGAAATTATGTATGAATTCCTGTTATAAATTCCATAGCAAAATCAAACCATGTGCTCACTGTGAAGAACTTACCTTTTTCAGAAGGTAGAAAAAAAATGAAGAAGGAAAAGAGTGAGGCATCTAAGGCAAATAGAAAATATGCCTTTCTTTTACTTTACTAAATGGTTTCAATTCATACATAGAGGATTTTTAATAATTCTGTTGATGTTGGTATTTCTCTTGTGTGTTCACATCTCTTTCAATATAAATTTTCTCTGAGTGTAAAAGACTTGAGTAATGGTATTTGCCGGGGTAGTAATGTGTATATTTTTAATTAAAAAAAACCCCTTTATCTACTTTATGTCAGAACTTTGATAGTATGAATTAAATTCCACAGTTTTAAATGATCCTGCAAAATCAATAGCAAGATTTTCTAGCTTTTCTTTATATAACTATGAACTAGAAACAAATAAGACTTTTATTTTTTTTTAAATTGGCTTACAGCCATGTTCCTTTGTTGTGTTTTCAACATCACAGTTGTTTTTCAGTGACATGTATGGTATTGTCTTCCTTCTTCTATGAAGCTGGATGATTTTTTTTTTTCCTGTGACTGTCAAACATTATCTTTTGTTAGCATGGACTTTCTCTTTTGAACTAATTACTGCAATTGGTAACAAATAAACATGAGGCTGTACTGCATGAACAATTTTCTCCCTCAAATTCAAACCCAGGTTTGATTTTTTTTTTTTAATTTTATTTCTTGACCTGATTTTAAATGAACAGATTTTGCCAGCATTTCAGCCTGTAGATTGTTATTTCTTCTGTATTTTGACCGTGTTCTCACTTAACAAAATTCTTAATTGGGTTTTCCTGACAGCTTTTTTTCCCAGTCTTTTCATTCATTAGCCTATGTCTGCAGAGAGTGTTCTTTCTATGTGATTTTCTTTCCTTTTAAATTTTCTCATTCTTTTGGTTGAATTTCTAAAGATAGTTACTACTTTCTCCTTTTTTTTTATGTACTTTTCCAGGCTTTATCTGTCCTTAATTTTAGTTTCCTTAAGCTGGTTTGATTTCAAATCTCTTTTGACTGCATCATCACTAATAGAGTGGACCATTGTCTGTTACTGAGGACAGCTGGCACAGATTGGGATTTGTCCTTTCTGTTAATCTTTCAGCCTTAAAACAGGTAGCTGTGTGCCCAGTACTGCTGGAACTTTGCCCAGCCATGTGATAACCCTCAGATTGTTCCCAGAGGTTGGGAGAGTGCAGTTGGCCTTTATCAAAACTATTTCAGGACTTATTCTGGCATGGTGATTTGCATTTCTCTGCCTGGGAAAGTTTTAGTCATTAATATATTGATGTAACCTTTATGGGTAACTTTTGTAAAGGCAATAGTTAAGCCAGTTACCAACTAGAGATTAAGTCAGTTTTATCTGTGATCTGCTTCCTAAAAAGCCTACTCTCTGAATCATTAATGTTAAATCTTATGCTTTGAATGATTCTGCTAGCTGTCTAGAAAAAAAACCAAACCCAAATCATACCCAACAACTGAAAAAAAAAAAACCCCACACCCCAAAAGCAAGCAAACAAACAAAACAATCTCAATAGTCCATCCAACTCCCCCATCCCCTTCAATTTCCTGGTTTGGTAATTTACAGGAGGTCTGCATTTTCCTGCTCACTGTAACTTCCCCATCTGAATGTTATGCAGAGTGCTTGGCTTCTGTTGCATTCTGTATTTCAGAACGGATATACTGATCTTAAGATATTCAAGACAAAATTTCCTGCCCCACCCTGTATATCTGTCCTCCCTAAGCCAAGTATGCCTTCTAAAGGGATGGAGTATCTCACGAAATTGAAAAGCTGAGTTATATTTTTGTTGACTTTCCGAGATTTCCAGCTACCCTTGTTTTTATTCCCATAGTTCTTGTGTCAGTTTGCTGAGGAGCAGAAGTTTACCAGGAAGCTCTGGAGATATTCTACTGTTTGCCACCTTCTCCTCCCTGTGACCCTTTAGCTACCCACACTTGCCACTCATTCCTTTGGAGCTGTGATCTAGGTTGCCATTTGTAAGTCTTGTTATTTTATTAAGGAGGACAGTCTTTGCCTTTAATTTGCTCACTGGTGATTTGAATGACAGCAGAGTTTTAGCCTGCCAGGCTGGGAAGCACAGATGGCACTTCACATGGCTGAGAAAAAGTGGAACTCTGGGGAAAAGAAGCATATGTTTTCCTGGATTTGAGAGAACTAAAAAAGGTCCAGTGCTTGAAGTGTTTTTCCAAATTTTCCCCAAATTTGCACTACACATGCAATAGTGTAATGTATTAGCAATGTCACTCTAGCATCCACGAAACTTTGTAAAGTGAAAAATGTAGGTCTGCAAACCCTGAACGACAGTGATGTGTCTTCCAGGAATAATGGGATGTGTCAGCTGGGGCCATGTAAATCAAAGGGAGAAATGAGTCAAGTGGTGGGGCCAGTGTGTCTTGAAGGAGAGGAGCAGCAAAGAACTTGAGAACTGTGCAGTGTTATACAGGTTTATTACCTCTGATTCACCTACCTCCTGGCAAGTGGATAGGTTAAAAATGTGTTTATATTTGGGATGTTATTTTGTAACTTAATTATTCATTTGACTCTTTAATATGTCCATGAAAGAAGTCAGGGAATTGTGCACTGTCTGTGTACTGCATCAGTTTTTTGGGGTGTTCTGAGTCTGTGCCTTGAGAAACCATTATGTGTCAAAATTTCAATATCATGAAGGGACTTTGTACCTTAAAGCAACTATTTTATATTTTATTCTGTTATGGATAAGCACTCAATGATACTAAATTTTGTTCCCAATTGTTATTTGTGCTGTTAAAAATTATGTACTCTTGGAACGAGGTCAAAGTGGCAAAGTACTGTGTGACAAAGAAAAACAAGTGTGGGGAGATCTTTGTCTTTTATGCTTATTTTGAAAAATATTGAGGAGTAATGCTCCCAGATCTGGCTTGATTGAAAGTAGAATTACATTGACCTACTTATATGTCCTTCTCAAACCAAAAGCTTGGTAATCAAAGCTTGTTTGAAGTGGAACCTCCAGTACCAAACTGAATTGCAGAAAGAATCCTGTGCAGTTCTCTGCAGAACAGATGATTCCTGAGAGCTGCTTCTCTGTGCAGTAGAAGTTTGATGATTTGACTTTGCACCTTGCATATGCCAGCTTTTTTAGCTCCTAGCAGTAAGGAATCTGAAGAAAAAAAAAATGCAACAAAACCAAACCCCAAACTATTATGTAATTTGTATAAAAAACCCTATATGGTTTTTTAAAATATATACATTTAAAAAAATAGCTTTCCTTCTGTCTCTGTGGGATGTTTTTCTTTCCATATTTGTTTAAGGAAATTTGCTTAGTACCAGCAACCAGCAGTGCTACCAGACAGATGGATTGATGGGTATAGGAGAAATGAAATTCAGCTTTTCAGTTATATTCCTACTTCTCCATTAGAAACATACATTATCTCTTAAAACTGGAAAAATCATGTTCTGAGCTTCACTTGGGCTTACAGAAGGAATAGTTTTCCATTTCTTTTTCTTTACCAATTTATTGGTTTTGTTGTTTGTTTGTTTGTTTGAAGTGGTTTTGTTGTGTTTAAGTGTTTGAAGTTGTTTAAAATAGATTCTTTTCATGCAGTGTTCTTCTTAACATAGGTTCAGTCACTTCTCTTGAAACTACAAGCCAGCAGTGGAATATGTAGGTGACTTTATTAAAAAGCTGGTCTGTGTGCTTCAGAAATTGCTTGTACTAGAGAAGGTAGGATTATCACACTTAGGAGTAGATTTATGTGTTTGGAGTAATAGAAAATGTTTATTAAATAAAAAAAAAAAAGATTGCAAGTTCACGTGCTGGAGCACTGATGGGAACCGCTGATGGAACCAGGCTGGTGATCAGAGGCAGATTGCTCTTCTATGACCCAGCTCCTGAGCTGCTGCCTTCTCAGATGATGTGGCTTGGTGAGAGTAACATGAATCTAAACCACACCAACTGGTTTCTAGCTTTTAAAAACAGATGGTTAGGACCAGCCAATAAAGCATTCATGGATTTACTTTTAGATTGGCATTAGCTCTGATCACAGTCATAGTCAGAAAAGAGTAAGTCATTGCTCTTAGAAAGAACTGTTAGTGTGATTAAACTGAACCTGACTTATTAAAGGAAAAAGAAAGCATTTGGCAAGTTAGACCTGGGAAGAAATAGCAATAGTCTTTATTGGGTGTGAGGGCATATATGGGAGAGAAACATCTGAAAATAAATATATTTGAGGCGTAAATTTAAGAATGAATCTTGTTTGAAAATCAAAGGATGAGGTCTGGTCTCAGTAATGGGGGGAAAGAACTTGGTTGCTCAAGATGGTATTTTACATATTTATGTAAGAATACCATGTGAGATGATAAGGTTGATCCTGGACTCAGAAATTAAAAATGAACATTTGAGATTTCTTGGTATTAGAATAACAAAAATCTCTGAGAAAGAGAATAGAGCAGATATGGAAATATTTGATTGTTATTTGTCATAAAGTTTTCAGTTTTACAAATTCTGTTCCTCACTGCTACCACTGATATCCTGTACATATCCAGAGGGAATATTTATTGGTTTTATTTTTCTCTTCTTAGTGCAATTTACCATTCTCTAAAGGTGGGATTTTGAGTGATGTGTCTGATTTATCCTGTGGTATTGGGAAAATAGTCCTGGTCTGGCATATGAGTCTAATGTCTGTGTTCAGAATTAAATCAGTTTGCCCCAGTCAGATGGAGAAGGGATGGGAGAAGTGTTTCATTTTTTATTTCCTCCTTGCTGTAATCCTCTGTATTCCTAAGGTGATGCAGGTATTTTAATCTAACACTTCTGCAGTTACAGTCACTAAAGCGTGGCATCCTTGTATTCTATTACCTTGCTCTCGTGCTTTCAAATTTTGTGTCTTTTTAAAATGCAACTGAAATTACAGGAAAAGTGTTGATGAAATGTTTTGGACTCAGTTTTGGTTGTAATGCAGTAGACTGGGTTGAACACTGCAGATGTTATTGAATCCTTTATAAGGATAGATTTTTAAAAAAATAGATAAATTAAAAAAAAAAAGAAAAAAGGCAATGACTAGTCTGTGTACACTCAGCAATTCAAAGTCAGAATTGGGCATACAACTAAAATTTCCTATCCATAAGGTCACTTCATGACCTTTATTTCCAAAAAGATCTGTGTGAGTGGGCAAATTTATCTGGAAGGAACCACAGTCTAATTAGTGATATTTGTAAATACTCTTGAGGTGATTGAAACACAAATGTGAAGATTTTAAACAATACTTTCAGTTTTTATATTATGAATAGAATTCAAATCTCAGGGATTTATTAGTAATAATAATAAATTGGCTGTAAAATTGTAAACTTTTTGGTAGTTTTGAATGTTTCAGAGTAGGCTGGCTTTTTTAAGATAATCACAATTTCTATAAAGTGACTGATTATTCTTTTTATGGAACTGTGGGAAAAAACCCCAAAGAGCTTTATTTCTGTCCCCTTAGTAATGTAGGGCACAGTGATTTGCCCAGTCTGGTAGGACTGGAAGGCCTTTTGGTACTGCTTGCAATTCTTTTGCTTACAAATAAATCAACTTGTAAATTTAGTAATAGTTCTTTTTGTTGCATGAAATGTAAATGTTTCCACTTCATGTTTACCATAAGCTACTCTGTCTAAATCTAATTTTCCATATGCATGGCTCACATAATGTACTACCTTCTTCTTGTTAATGAGGTTGGGATTATAAACTTGTGAGAAAGTACATCATAATGCTTCACACAAAAGTATGAGTAAGCATCATTCTAGACCATGCTCTAAAGTGTTCCTCTTGGAACATGTATTTTTCTTCTGCTTGGCTTCTTGAAGGTCTTGAGACCTTCAGCTGAAAGTTTAACCTCTTCATTTTTGTGAAACAGGCAGTGTAGCTGATTTGATGGGAGCTACAATAAAAGAATGAATTTATTTTTTTCTGATTTTATTTTTTATAGATGGAGTAACTGGGTTGTATTTTTTGTTTGAATTTCTGAGATACATAATCACAGCAGAAGCTATAACCTTTTCATTGAGTGCCTTAGCCAAAGTATACCCAAACTATCAATCTCAAATAAAAGTGAAAATAGCTATCTCCCTATTTCCCTCAGGCTTTCCATTTTTGGAAGTTCATGGGCTCTGCCTTTGTAGGTGCTGATTACTTTAAATAATTTATTACATGAATAGGAAAACACAGAATTCAGATTTGGTTTTTATCACTGTTGCTGCTTTTGAGAGCTTTAGAGTTGCCAGTTCACCTTGTTCATTTAACAGTACAGCTGCTGAAGCTTCTCTTTGAAATTGAAAATCACTTAATTTTCATTCAAAAATGGGACTAATTTGGCAGAATTCTCATTGCAATAAAAGTCAGTTATCTGAAGCATTTATCATTTTTTCCCCTTTGTTCCTGTTCCTAGTACTATTGTTGCTTTAATTGGTTTCCTGTTTATTTTTTTTTTCTTGCTTTCATTCCTTTCCTTGAAGTCAGCATCACAAATAAGCTTTCTCAACAACCAATTAATTGCTGTTTCAGAGTCTGATAGTACAGCTTTTGATTGCTTTTCTGTTAAATGGCCAGGAATCTACTTTTAGTTCAGTAGTGTGCTGCCATTCTGAATTAGTGAGACAAGTGTTAGGAAATTATGTACTAACTCCATACCTTGATAACCCCAAAGTAAGATTTCGTTTAAAACAGTTTCTTCACTGAAAGAGTAAGTCAAGCACTCTAAAAGGCTGCCAAGGGAAGTTGCTGAGCCTCCATCCCTGGGTGAATTTAAAAGATATGTAAGTGTGGCTCTTAAGGACATGGTTTAGTGAGGGACTTGACAGTGGTAGGTTTGTGGCTGGACTTGATGATTTTAAAGTTCTTTTCTAACCTAAATAATTGTGTGATAAAAACTAATGATCTTTTTCTCTTCTACTTTCAGAGAATTGCCTATGCTTCAAAATGAAAGTAAGGAAGAAGAATCCCCAAAAGTATTAATTTGAGCAATAATTATTGCTTGTAAGTAAGTACTTCTCATTCTTTGTGATGTTGCCTTCACAACTGAAAACTGCTCTTCTGTTGAGATAAGTCTTTGTCAACTGAGGGAAGGAAACATTGCAGAAAAGAGGCCAGGTCCTTCTTCATTTTTAAGTGATGCCTGTCAAAATGGGCCAGTCAGATACCTATTTCACCTTTTGTTTCTCCTTACCTATTCCTCTCCCTTCTCCTCTTTGCCTCTCATCTCTAAAAAGAGAAATTCTTTGGTAGGCTCATTACGTACCCTCTGTCTTACATACAAAACCCTGTATTTCTTTGGCACTATTTCTGGGCTTTTTCCTTCTATATTGCAGATATTCCATGTATTTCTCAGAGATAAGCTGTGCTTCTGCAGAGGCTGGGCACAGGCTCTACTCCATGAAGTTTTTCAAGAGTTCTGAGCAACTAAGCTGTTGTGGGTGGAAAGTATTGTGTGCTCTGGGATATCCCAGATCCAGTGCTAGTTAATGCTTCAGATTCTTATGGTTTTGAAGGTCTGAGCAAATACCATAATAATCATGTTTGAGGATACTTTTTTATTTAAATAAAGCTTAGCAGAAAGGTAACTCTCTTTGTTTTGAGAAAAATGCTTAAAGAATGAACTTCACTGAAACATGAATATGGGTGTGAACTTGGAAACCAAGCATATTATAACATTATTCTTTTTCTGATGCAACTACAGAGAAGACTCTTATGATCAGTATACTTAACTATGATAAGAAAGTTGTGAAAATTTCTTAAACTTCCACAATTGAACAAATTAGACTAAGAGTTCTAGCAAATTTGTTGCAGATTTGATGCTTTTACAGTTTACCCAACTTCACTAATGGATGTAAAGCTGGCGACATCTAAAGTGCTCTCAATTATTTTGATTTATTTTGCGCACTTATTATTCTAGAAGTACTGTGGTATTGTAAGAGTTTAATGAATGGTTTGTTAAATAAAAAAAGGAAAAAATAAGTGGGATTTCAGATATTGTTCTAGGGACCTTCAGGCCAGAACAAAGAATAGCTCTCCAAGTGCCCAGTGTCCAGGTAGGTGTCTTGAAACTGGGTTAGATGTTGTGACTGCTTCCTGTTGGTGAAAGGACTTGTTTCCATTTCCTGAACCCTGCTTTCTTCTCTGTCTGACTCCTGCTGAAGAGTTAACTGGTTTATCTCACAAATCCAGAGGAAAGGTGGCTAGTTTTGTTTCTTGGCTTTTGGGATGGATCAGCTCAGACAGCTGTTCAAAGAAGTGTCCAAATGGTACAGAAGAAGCAGAGAGCCTCTGCAGGCAGGAGCAAATAGTGTGGGAGTGTCACCTGTCACTTTAGGCAGCTGCCAGTCTGTGGATTAGCCCAGCAGTTCATGGTAACACTCTTGAAATTGTTAGGCTGGGAATATGTGATTTGACTTTGGACTTTTCTGTGGAGGCTTCAGACTAGGAGTGGCTAACTTTGCCATTGCAGTTAGTCGGAATGGTTTGTGATATGGAGTAGAAACAATGATTCAGAGGGAAAAAAACTTAGCTGGTAGCCAGGAAATCTGTGACAGTCGTTCTCCTACCCCACCCTCCAACTCTCCAGCCCCATATGTAGTATCTGTGTGCTCCAGGCTCTGAAAATGAATGAAAGGTAGAAAAACTTCCATGACTTTTCAAAGCCTCACTTGTAGAATTGGCTGATCCCTTGTTATGTAATACAACAATTTGTATCTTGATTAGAAGTTTTGTAAATTAAAATTTGTTTCTTTGAGAGAGCCTGCTTGCAGGCATGCATGCATATGTGGTTACTTAGTTTTGTACTTCCTATTCTGTGTTCACACTAAGTTGATTTGTCTGGAAGCTGTGGTGATGGTTTGACTGTGTTTAGCAGAGATGTGTTCCTTCTTTTAGCAAGAAAGAGGCACACTGGTTGAGAACTGCATGAAACATCTTCTTGCCTTTTCTGTTTAGTTTGTGTGGGAGGGTAATTAAAAGGATTTGTGCATGTCTATAAACGGCAGTGCCTGGAGCTATAGTTAAGCCAGTGCTTTGGTGTATGCATTGCTCAGCTGCTGAGGGAGGCTGAGTGGTGGCAGAAAGCTGATTTGGGCTTGGTGTCCAGGTAAGATAGAGGTGCTGCTGCTGGGTTGAGACAAGTAACTGAGCACTACAGAGAAGGTGATATTTTACCTGTATTACTTGATTATGCAATCCATGGATTGTGTTGTTGGATTCCTGCTTCTGGTCAGATGTTGTAACAAGCTGCATTTGGAATTATTTTCTGTTGTCACAATCTGGCTTGGGAAAACTGTATTATCAACCATATACTTATTTAATATTTTTTCCTGATTCTTTTCAGATATAAAAATATTTCCATGATAGCCTTTCCTTTTTTTTCCCCCAAATCATATTTCACACTTAGTCTAATCTGTTCCATCTATGAACTGCTGTTCTGTAGTTTGTTGAGAAATAAAGATCAAATCAACATTTCTTATTGCATTCTAAAACACTTTCTTATTCTTTCTCAGATATTCTGTAAGTTAGATTAATCTGTGATAGGCTTTCAAGATAAACTAATCTCTGGAAAAGGCCTGTATATCTTGAGTTTTATTTATTTTAAGGGCACCTAAAATCTCGGATGGATATTCTCTGTTTCTTCATATCTAAATAGATCAGTGTATGATTCCTGATGAAAAATACTTTTTCAGGAGGGTATGTTGCAGATTTAGCCCTGCCATTTTATCAGGACTGTTCCTCTGTCATTCTGGAGTATCTGTGATCTTGCTTGCTACTTTTCCTCTTGCCTGAGGATCAGCAAAGTCTGTTTCTTGTTCAAACATTTGGCTTCAGTGTGCTTTTCTGTCCTGGTAGGCATTTAGCTTGGATTCTTCTTTGAAAGATTGCTTCCTGCTCCTCTGTCTCTCTGAACTGTATTCTTTATTAAAAGTGTGCTCTAGATAAGTCATTTCTGATGCAGCAGCACAAACAACAGTCTTTTATGTTATTCTTTTCAAGAAAAGAGGATGCTAATGGATCCATTGACACACATGTTTAGTGCAGTGAAAAATTATACCAGTCTGAGACACTGCAGAGCAGTTGGAAGATTGGAGGAGAATTTAACATGAAGCAAGAAATTTAGAATGAGCAGGGGGAAATGGGATTCAAGCTATTAAGGGCAAACTTAAAATACTGCTTTTAAATTAAAGGAAAAGAAAACAAGAGAGTCCAGGATAAGGAATGGCTGAGAGTTCTGAAGAAAGAGATTGGGGGTTAAGAGCTGACCTTAAATCAAGATTATCATGCACAAAAAGTAGTTCTGAGAATGTAACATCAGGCCAAGATGAGTAAATGAAAGTGCTGTCCTTCAGCACTGTAAAACTGATGTAAATCTCTCTGCACAACCTAGGGTAGAAATGGAGTCAGCTAGGTCATTGTGTCCAGTTAGGAACCATGCACTTAATGCATGCAAAGAAATCAAAATTATCTTGCCACATTGGAGAATCCAGAAGCAAATAGTATTGAAAATATAATGCTTGAGCCAAGACCTGTGAGAAGAGGTTAAAATAGTAACAGGCTGATTAAAGAGCAAAATCTTTTCCCCCAAAAATTGTCTATCTCTTTTGTGAATGAAACATAGGGAAAGAGGCTTTTTGCAAAAGATGCTGAGAAGGAGCATAGGATCTCTTTCTGCATATTGCAAAATTTTTTACTTCAAATATTTTTTAGCTTAAATACTTCTTCCAATGGACCAAGTAATGTTTTATCTCAAATACATCTAAGTTTAAAATTAAATAGTCCAAATCTAAAACATCAATGGAAATTTTGAAAAAAAACCAAAAAAACCCCAAAAAAGCCAACAAACTAGACATAACCTGGTGGATATTATTTGGCTCTAAATTACTGTTATTTTTACAGTGCCTGAAAAGTCAAATTTCAAATATCACTGGTGGTCTGTACCTTTTAAAATGACTGGGATTAGTCAGTTATGTGAAAGTAAACTTTGGTATTGACAGATTGTTTAAGGGGACAAGATCAGAGGAAACAGCCAGGCAAGAAGTTTCCTGCTTCACAAGTTCTTTCAGGTAAATAGGTGAGGATGTTCATCACAGGATTTAAAAAATTTTATTTTTAGTATGAAATACAGAGAGATGGTGTAGGTGTGATAAATGTGAGTTATGAATTTTTATTGATGTTATCATTTTTAAACTAAATGGTAGAGGGGGTGGTAGTCTTGCACACTTTTTGCTGTTGAGTGAAAGAAATTGTAGTTGTCACAGGGAGAAGAACGAGATGTAGATAAATGTCAAGACGACATCTACAGTATAGAAATATTCTGCAATTAATTTGGCTTTGCTCTTTTTAATGATGTCATTATACTACATTGATAATTCAGTACTTCTTTATTGTTTGGATTATATTAAATAGTGGCTAATTAAACACTTCTGAAATTGTCAGATCCTGTTAGCGTAGGAAAATCTTAATTTAATTGTTTTTGCACTTCAGTCTTGGTGGGGTTTTTTTGTTACTTCTTTTGTTCTTAAACAAATGTTGAAATAAGCCAAGTCTAACGGAAACGAGAAAAATTAGATGCTTGCCAGTATGTGGAAAAAACCTAATCAAGACAGAGGTTAATTATAGGGTGATTAACTTGAAACTGATCCTAATGATACTGTCTTTTAATCAGATTGATTTTGCCTAAGCATATTTGTTGTAATTCATGTTAACTGTATTAAAATTAGTTAATGAATCCAAAAACCTGTCAGTAAGGAGGGAACTTTCAAACTCTAAGGAAGGCTCCCTCATTGTTACATGGCAGGAGGTTCTTGGTCATTGGCTTCAGTTCTTGGGAAAAATACACTGCTCCTAATAAATGTCTAAATTTGATAGAAAGACATCACTAACTGTTAAATTGCTTGGCAAGTTGAGCTGGAAAGTATTTGGGTAGAGCCAAATGTGTGATCCCAGGTCTAGAGACCAATATTGTAGATTGCACTTATGGATTAGAGACAATGGTTTTGAATA